GCAACACAGAAAGAGAAGACATTATAGAGAAAAGAAAGGTGAGATATTTAAAAATAAGAAAAATGGTTATTTGTAATTTTCAACAAATTAATATTTCACACCAGATTAAGCACACAGCATATAAATTCATGTACTTTCACACTTGGCTGCCAAATACAACTATGTAAGTACTTCACGGGCTTACAAAAACCTCTCTTTGCAGCTCCTTTTGCAACGAAAACAGTTCCTAAGGCCTTTGTACTTCTAAATCAAAGGAGGACAATTTACTATGATATAAATTACCTGGCAGCTTAGGTAATGAGCAAGGGCCGCAGTAAGGCATTACATGCACACTGTTGGAAAAACCAGCCCTGGCCCCAAAGAGGCTGGAGTCTAAGTACTCAAAAAAAAGACAACAGCAGATACACGCAGGTAGAGGAGCATTAGGAAACTATAAGGCATCAGTAACGGACTAACACCTTCTCAGCATGATCAACTGAATTAAACATTGGATTGGAGCTAACAAGTTCTAGTTCCTCAGATACTGCAATACTATAAACATTAATGCTGGCAATTCCCTTCCTACCAATACATGAAAACAAATTTAATTTTTACCTTTGTTCTTCTTTTTACTTTTCTGCTGTAGAGAAGACTGCTGAAATGTCTACAAGAAAATCAAAACGGAAGAAGTGAAAATACAGTGTTTATATATGCAACCACATCCTTATCATAAATAAGTGTAACGTTGTGAACACTGAAGTCATCACCAGGTAACACCAGCCAACAGGCTTCTAGGGCTAAGAAAAAAGGTAATTTTTGCTCATCCCTTCATAAGGCTTTAAAGCAAAAGCACACAGTGAAACATCTTAAAATAGACCAAAAATTAGTTTGCCAAAACAACTGAAGTTTCTCTCTAAAATGGTCGCTTTTCTCTCATTCTGTTAATAAGGAATCAATGTCTACCTTTCGTTAGTACAATAGTGAAGCTACCCAGCTCGTGCACTTCTAGCACATCATCTAATTAAGGTCTTCCTGACATAAATATGCAAATATGAAAATTAACATGCCGTCTAATGCAGGTGTGAAGGCATTTGTATGATGGTCTTCAGAACATCAGACAATTTGCTAGAGAAGAGGGGCCTAAAATTTTTAAAGACACCAATAAAATTCTGCCAAATCACAACTGGGAAAAAGTCTCCCAAATAAATATTCTGAAATAGAAAACACTTTATTTTTTACCATGTTTTAACTGGAAGTATTTCCCTCCAGTTGATTCACTCCCATGAACCAACCCAATGCCTTGGCAATGAGACAGGATGGAAATTACTCCTTTACTTAAGATCCTAGCTTATTAAAAATGGCAATACATATTAACACATTTTACGGTCATTTCTGTTAAAAAACTGACTCAGACAATCACCTTCACTCTACCGACTTAAAAAAATAATTCTGTAATTAATCAGTCCAAAATATAAAGACACGATTTTAGTTGTTTTCAGTGTTAGTGTTCTATAAAGATAGACAAATGTATTAGTGCTGAAACTAAGAAAAGGCCACTTTAGAGTGTCTGAGTATTAAAACCTCTTCTTTCAGCTTACCATGAATCAATAAAAAATCAAAGCTTTTGTGCCACTTGATAAAAATAAATCTGAGCAAAAGCACTGACAGCCCTGTGAGCCAAATCCTGTTCCTAGCAGATAAGACAAACCCTCACACCAGCTTACAAGGCTCCCTTTTCAATTCACGGAGCTGCTTTTCTTTTCATTTTTTCCTCCCTGCTTCCCGTACACCTGAGCTCACATGCAGGAGGCTCAGGCTCAGCTTCCAAGGGATGTCTCCCCTCACAGCTGAGAGATTCTCAAGCAGCAAATACTAACATGTCCATGGGGATAAATTACCAGCAACAGAACGATAATTAAGTGTAATATAAAAAATTAACTGACTCGGTAGATGTGCTGATCCCTTGTAGACCATACTGAACAAAGCTACTCAACTGTATTGCCACCTCAAGATGGTCAAAATAGGCTTCCACTGGGAAGGAAAAAGGAGCCCATTTGTTTTCATTCCCCGGCTCTTGTCCTTTTTCTTCTGCCACTGGTATCAATTCAATCAGCACCAGTTCTCAGCAAGCCAAGACAGCAACACCATCCCAACTTATGTCACATGAAATATATCGACCTACATAGGACTAAGAGAAATCTTTACGGCCCAGGAATAATGGAGTGACTGGGCAGAAGTGTGTAAATAACTCCCTCTTAGATGCTTTTAAAATCTTACCTAATTCAAAGTGGTTGAAAAAACACACACACGCACAAACCCAAAACTTTAGCACTTCTCAGTTCACAACCCAGCTTCATTCTGCTGCTCAACTTTTCTGCATTAATACTTTCACAGTGCCAAAACAGAAAAGGAAAATCTCTGCTTGCTTTTCTTATAAGTGATTCTGAAAGCAGATGAGAACAATATGAAAAGCCTTCTCATTAAATGTTTCATCTGTAAATTGAACCTGCAAATGTGAGCTCACACCTCACAACTTCTGAGTCAAGTTTTTGGGAAGGGAGGGTAATGAAGGGGTATCAGTTTTTAATAGGAAGACAGCATGTAATTTAGATGTCTAGCCATTTTTCCATACATTATGTCATATTGCAAAATAGAAAGGTTTTATTAAATTCAGTTACTATTCTAAATTAGCTCATTAAATTAAATTATAATTAAGGACAAAATCTACAACCAAGTGAAGTTCCTGGGAACTATTCAACTGACTTCAGTGATTTTAGCTAACACTTTAGATTATTTTACATAGACTTCAGGCTATTTTTTTTTTACCCGGAAGATGTACAAACAGTGTGCATTAGTCAGTGCCATTCAGTTTCAAACACACATGATACGTAATCCAAAAAAAAACAAGTGAGGATGAAATCTAAAAATGTTTCTTCTGTTGCTTTTTTTAGGAAATCATCAAATGCAATCTGCAGCCTCTTCCCAGTTATGAGATAATGCTTAATGCCATTTTCTCAGTGCTGTTTAGAATCACAGAATGATGAAGGAGGTCATGTCCTTCCTCCTGCTCAGAGCAAGGCTGCTTTGAAGGCAACACTGGATCATGTTCCTCAGGGTCATCTCCAGCCTAGATCCAACTATCTCCAAAGAGGGAGATTCCACAACCTCTTTAAGTGACCTGTCCTAATGTTGGCCACCATAATGTGTCCCCTTTTACAACTTAATTCAGTGATGTGGCAAATACGGAAATATAAATACCTCTTTTTAATGTCACAAACCCTAAAAATATGGATTTACACCAAAGCCAGACATTTAGTTGTACTAAAGCAAGTTTGCTGCAAGATACCATTTAATCACCCACCCACGAGGCTGGATTTCAACATATGTTCACCACATTTTGATTCTGATACATCTTGAGCTTTGAGCAACTGCTTTCACATACATCTTGTCCTAGTTTCCAAGAATTAATCTCTCCTACTAATTCTGAAAGCAGGCATGAAATGAAACAGAAAACAGCATTCTATTTTAAAGAAAGTTGTTAACAATTCAAAATAATAAATAAAATGGAAACAAGACTGCCACTGAAAAGATGAAATAGATGGATACCTTAACCCAAACGGAAATTTGAAGAAAATTTGAAACTGTTTAATCATATTCTGGATTATATGCTTTCCAGTTGCCCAAAATACAATTAGCAAAACTTTCCATTATCCAGAAGTGTCACTTGATGTTTAACACATATCAAAACTCCCTTGAATACCCTGAGCCTCAGTTTTTTGAATGCAATAATTTTCTCCTGTAATATGTGATGTTTGAGCTTGTCATATTTAATAGTATACCTAAACTAAGCCCTCTGCCAAATGCATGCCTAAGTAGAATATCAAAGAAACATTTCAGGTATATATATGTCTGCCTTTGCTGTCAGCAGCCTCCAAAGCACATGTATTTCAAGAGGAACAAAACATCATTCATTAAGGGATTTTTGCTATGTTTTGGGTTTTTTTAGCAAAGGTGCTAGCCCACCTCTAGCTCTACCTTTCTGAGGGCTTAGCTGCACATCCCATCAGCCAATGGAGATTTCATTCTGCATGGAAGAGCCATAACAGTTCCTCTCTTCCTGAAACTGTTCATTACCAAACTTGCTACGTGGGTTATATTTACTTTAACACTCTTCAAAATGATTGACAGAGTTCTGAAAGACCATCAGAAGACCGCACAACTGTAAATAGCAATCTGCCCAATGGTATGCCTTTCCATGCTTTTAGAATTATAGTGCAGTAATACAGCTACATAGTAAAAACCTTCAAGGTGGAGGCTCACACTAAAAAAAGAGGTCACCAACGACCTATAACTGTATTTGTTCCTTTAGCAAGAAAATAATCACATATATATGGTATTATCAACAATATCTGTACGCACACAATCATGCAACAGCATCTTCGTACGTACAACACAAAATTTTCAAGAAATGAGACTATCATGTTTTTCTCTCATCCTCAGAGAGCTATCTAGGTTTCTTTCTGTTTTTAGCTCTTGGGATAAAGTATTCATTCTTGGTTAGCACCACACTTCTGTATAGAAGTGCTCAGAAGCTCAGAAGAGAAGCAAGGTTGAAAGTTAGTCATTAACATTCAGAAGCCTGAAAATGTGAGTATTTATTATGAACTACTTAGTAGTAATTTGATAGCTCTCTATTTGGAAAAACGTATTTAAATAAAAGTGTTCAATAATTTAAATTTCAATTAATTTATTTGTTTCATGCCACATAGGAAACTTAATAAACTGAGCTTCTAATACCAATATTAAATTGGAGTGAAACTGCTATAAGGAGAGATGAATATTTGATAAAAGTCATGTTATGATGAAAGTTAGAAAATTTGTAATCCAGTTGATACCTCAAAACTAGAAGACAAGCAGACTGGTTATCAGAACTATTGATTTGGGAGGACTGGTTGTTTTGCCTAATTTCAAGAGTCTGAGGAGGAAGTTGAAAGATTTGGGGTCAAACTATTCCTATATAAGAGATTCTCTAAGATCTCATATAAATTCCATGTCTGACCAACAGAACATGACATCCATGTCCAAAAAATAGATATATTCTAATAGTTAAATGAACTCCTTTATGGTTACAGAATTTGTAGGTCTACCAAAAAAAGACCATAACTGAAGCTTCTCTGAAGATCTGGACTGGCCGCAGCAATTAGTACTAAATTTGACAGCTCCTAAAATCATCTTTCAAGTGCTTATTTGTTTCTTAACTTTTCTTCAGAGATTTTCCACTCACTTATTTTTGGAAAGCTGGAAGAGACAACAAGGTTATGGAAATAATAATCTCCAATTTTTATACCTGAGGTTGAGCTCAGTCTGATTGGGAAGGAAAATGGCAGGTTATCTTTATAGTTTTTTTGAGAGCTCAAGTCAAATCCAATTTTTCTCAAGCTGCAAGTTTAGACACTAAGGAACTATTTACAGTCAGACAGTTCCTCTCTGTCACTGTAAGATAACTTTCTCTAGTTTCAGCAGAGTAGCTTGTAACATTTCTGATTACTGGAACTTTCTGCTGCAGATGAAAAAGCCAATATCTGGAAGAAAATGAAAGCTGGTGCTGCTAATTATTTGATTGATCTCTCACACTCAGTACTTTGAGAACACTGGCAATGTTCT